CTGTAGTTCCAGCTACTTGGAAGGCTGAGGCAGAAGGATCTCCTGAGCCCAGTAGGTCAAGGCTGCGGTGGCCAGGAGTGTACCACTGCCCTCCAGCCTGTGCAATAGAGTGAGACTCTGACTCAAAAACAAAGCAAAACAAAACAAAAAACCTGTTTATCTCCTAAAGCTATAAATTTGCCTGCACTATGATCCAGAAAGTCTACCCCTAGATAAAGAAATGTAGTAGCACATCAGAAGTCATGCACAACAACATTCACAGTCACTTTATTAATAATATCTCCAAAGTAGGAACAGTTTTAATTTTTTTTAATCGGAGTCTCACTCTGTCGTCCATGCTGGAGTGCAATGGCATGCTCACGGCCACCGTAGCCTTGACCTCCTGGTCTCAGGTGATTCTTTCACCTCAGCCTTCCAAGTAGTTGAACAATGAGGGGCATGGTGGAGGAGGGTGACAGGAGAGAGGGGCATGGTCCTCAAGGTCCTTGCAAAGGGGCCCTCCTCCTAAGAACAGTGGGAGCCCTGGAGAAGTCTTCACAGCTGTGACATGGCTGCATTTGTCTCTGTTCCCTCTCAGGAGTGCTGCAGGGAGCACGGCAGTGGAAAGAAGGGGACAGTGGCGTTGAGAGACCTCCAGACCGGACGTGGCCCAGAGGGCAGGGGCTAATCTGGTCCTCCACAAAGACTCAGTGATGACGTCAAGTCTCAACTCCAGTGGTGGCCCGGGATTAGGCTCTGGTGCCATCCCTGGGTCCAGCCCAGACATGGCTCTTGAGCCTGTGTTGAGTCCACTCCCGAGTTCTGCCTTGGTGGTTGATTCAGACCCTGTCCCAGGGATGGCCTCAGGCCTGGTGTCTCATGACACTACCATAGCTGATGACAGCAAAGCCAAGGCTCTGGCCTCCCTCAAGGTCACGACTTCTTGCTCTGGTGAAGCCCTGGACTTGCATTTGAATCCCCTCTTGAGGACTGCCTCCCAGGAGCCTCTCTGCTCAGCCTCAAATCCTGTTCTGAGCCCTGGCTCTACTGAGGGCCCCGGTCTGAGCTCTGCGAACCACCCTGGGTCAAGTTCTGAAGAAGACTGCGAGTGCCTCTCAGGTCAGATTTTTGATTTGGGCCAGAGTAACTCCAACCCTTCCAGGTCG